TCCTCCGAGATGGAATAGACTTAGCTTGTGCTTTGAGGATCGCTCCCTTGAGGAGCAACCCCTCATTCTGAACTCTCTTCCCCTGGGGTTGTGGTCCCTTAGGGCCTCACTGATGAGCCTCCTGAACTTGTCAAAGTTGGCTTTCCTGAAGTCAAGGACTTCAGTGTTGATGACTGACTTGCCAGCTTTATGGTGTATGGTGAAGGTGATCAGCTCGTGGTCGCTGTCACCCAGCTTCCCATCGATCACTAGGTCACTGATTAGGTCATCCCCAGTAGCCAGTACCAATCTGATAAAATGAAAACTGCTAATAAAAATGTTCTTTTAAACAAAACACCATTCTACTATAAATACTTGCATTTACACTCTCCTAGAGCACGTGGGCATAAGATCACTTTTTTTTTTAGAAAAAAGTATCTGAAACAGTTTGATTTACAGGAATATTTAGCATCATATACAGTCTAGTTCACACTCCAAGTTGATATATTGTATATCAGCTATATATTAGATTATTCAAATATGTTTGGACTGAAGTGTTAAAAATACATATGGGGCTTGGATCTCTATCTATGGAAGGTAACGTAAAATAAAGTCTAGATTAGAGTTTAGCCTAGAGCAAGCTTGTAGATCTGTATCACCCTGCAATGGTAACATTTAGTCTGGAAAGTTCTGGATCCTGATCCAAACCTGTAGGTGTACTTTTTAGGACCAAACCAACAGCCCCTAATTTGGAGGAAGCTGAGATCTGAATCAAGATATAAATTTTGTACTTTGGGTCTGGCTCAATTTTGACAGGTTTGTCAAGCAAGGGGGAAGGTCAGTGAATTTTACAAGTCAGAACAAGAACATATGTTATTTTCTCATGTTACATATTATGTGTTTTGAAGTTATGAGCACATCAGACCTTATTATTTAGTGCACAGCACAAGAGTTTGGACCTGATCCAACTCCTGTTGTTGTCAATGTATTTCCTTCCATCGTTTTCCAAGGAAGTTGAATCTGGCACTTAAAAGTGAAGTCCTTGATTTTAAAATAAGGTATATTCAAGACCTTGTTTTATATGTTTATGCTATTTTTCTTTTGTGTATCATTTAGGAAGATATTTTCCTCTTCCTTCCAGGAGTAACACAGTGAACTGAATCTGTTCAATCTCTGAATGGTTACTTTAGAAATATTATAGTATTCTTGCTTAACTTTAGGCACTACTGACCTGCACACTGGAGCCTGTATATTATGCTAGGATCCCAGGTTTCAGAGAGTTTGAAGAGGTACCTCTTGGCCGAATAGCCTGGGCGAATCTGTCGCTCAATCTGGTTATCCGGTTTGTTCAGGAAATGGAGGTATGGCTGACAAGCTGTCCCTCTGCGATCCTTCTGTAGTGATAACATGCAGGGCAAGACATGAGTTGCTTTAATTTTTATATCTTCCTGAGGCTGATGAGTTGGAGTCAACAGATTCTAATCAAAACTCGAAAACTCCCCTGAAGATGCCTGAAGGCATAGTAGAACAGGCATCTCAAGTCAGTAGATTACATGGGGAAATCTTATTGTGGTGAATTTAAAGCAGTCAGGAGGCAGGGAGTGGGAGAAAATCTGGAAATCACTGCCTTCCTACCCCCCAAATCTTGCAACAAAACTATTCAGAACAGTTTTTGCTAGTTAAAATTGAATAGGCTTAAAAGAATCTGTCCAACAAATAAGTGTTGCTCACTGGGCACATCTACATAGGATGCTAACTGTGTTGTAGCCTAATAACACTGTGCAATAGTGTCTCACAGCATGAACATTGCTAATACGCAGTTGCACAGTGTTATTAGGCTACTGTGCAGTAGTGTCACAAAAAAATGTTTGCCAAGACTACTGTGCAGTAAATCTGGTTACTGTGCATTTATTTAGTACTTGGTTATACAAGTACTAAATTAAATGTGCAGTAACCACTCCACATTATTGAATGAGTAGACCCACCCCTTGGAAATGGGTAAACTAATCCTGATTTTTTATATTCATAGATAGATTCCTGTTGATTTCACAGATAGCAGGACCAGGCTTCGGATTTTTTTTTTCAAATCTCTCACTAGCTACTGGAGGAAAAAAGATTGCATCAAATACAAGAGAAACAAAAAGGACCTGAACCTTAACCCAGGTGCTCAACCAAACTCAAGCTTTGATGGTATTTTGAAACTTGAAAAAATGTAACTAACTTTTTAGTCCTTTCTAATTTTAGCACTCCTTTCTACTGCTTGATTTTCTCTGAGGCTATGTCAGTATGCATAATGTAGCATAGTATAGAGCTACCTGAGCTGGCTCTAAATGAACCAGCTGAGCTACTGAAAGAGCCCAGCCACTCTGGAGCTGTGCCTGGACATATTTATCCTGCTGAGAAGAATAATTTACCCTGAAAGCCTTAGGCTAATGCAGTTAGAGCCTTTTCAGTACCCAAACTGGCTCATTTAGAGTTAGCTTGGGTATCTCTGTACTGAGCTGTGTATACATACCCTTATGATGGAAGCATAACTGCCACACTGTAATATACTGTAAGAAATGCAGTTATTCACATATTTCCAATTTACACAAACTTACAAACTACCTGAAACTTCAGGAGAAAAGTTTGTTTTCACGGAACTTCCAACCCAACTTATATTTGTTTGTATTTATTGGGACATCTAATGCTACAGGGAGTCATGCATGGGTTTGAATGAATGAGAAATTTGGTCTTATGGTATTTCAGTTATTAGAAAGTGGAAATACTAAGAGGAGAGTCTAACTTAGATTATTTTAGCCCAATAAATGGCTTTCCGAGCAGAAAAAAGACCATTAAAACCTTAAATGCAAGTACAAAGCTATTTCGGCTTGTTGAGTTCACTTAAAGACCCCAACATTTTGTTTTATTCGGCTTCCTGTAGAAACAGTCACAGCTGCATTCCCTTTTAAAGGTGATTAATCAGGTAGCTTGTCCTTTCTCCCTTCTACCATAATGCAAAGCTTACAGAGAAACTTCAGTGACTCTAACCTAAAAAATATGTAAGAAAAAGCACATGTAGCCACTGCCATGAATATCATTTATGTAACCCCTTCACTGGACTTCAAGAACCATTTTGCAAAAATCAAATCTGGTTAAGTCAAAATGAAAGGGTATTTAAAAATACTCTTGTTAATTAAAGTCCCTATGTGGCATTTAGATTAAATATAATGAAACTATTGTTTACTATCAAATAGATACTGATTGTTTAAAACATCTCCATATATGCAGGCCAGACATAATACTGAGCTGTCCTGTCATTTGCAAAATCCATGTTTAATCTTTAACTCCATTTCTGTTTTTCTAGAAAAAATGCCATAATCCCAAAGTTGCTAAACTTACGTTCTCACTGACATCCTGTCACACTTTTAGCTTCTCTCATTCTTGTTTTCCTGATCTCCTACTACTGTATTTCCTTTTTCACAGACCGCCTCTTTTTTACCTTGTATTCTACCACTGTGAATGGTAGAATACACCTTTGGCCTTTTTCCCCCTGCTTTCTTTCCCCTCCCTTCCCTACTTTACCTTTTGTCTTTCTAATTTCTACCTATTTACATTTTCATTGACATCCTGCTACACTTTTTAGCTTCTTTCATTTCTTGGAGTCTCAGAACAGCATTTATTTCTTGGAGTCTCCCTATGCCTGAAGAAGGGTGACTGCACCCAAAAGCTTGCTAAGAACTGTTTTCCCAACTACTCAGTTGGTCTAACAAAAGATATCACATCTACCCAAAGAACCTTGCCTGCCTATAATCCCTAAATCTATTTTAAGACAGAGGGATTTGGCTTCAGTGTGTTATAGTTCCGTGTCGTGAGGTTGTCAAATATCATGGTGTCAAAATACCGCAGTCCAATATCACATTAGGATGCTGCAGCAACCCTGAAAACAATTTTGTGATCTCTTTATGACTTATGAGCACAAAGTACCTGAGGAGGTGCCATGCTTAGTCTCTGATTAGTGATTAGGCAGGGAAGATGCTCTTCCTTTGTCTACCTTAATCACTCTGACAAGCTAAGAAGCACCACCATGAGCCCTATTGTTCTTCCTGAGGTGGAAAGATCTGGTTACTCCACATCACACTAGGAAGGAGTGCAAAGTGTAAGAACTGAAAATGGGAGCAGCTCTGCAATAGCAGCTCTGTAGCAGATAGTCATCTCATAATATAAACACTAAGGATTAAATTCTGGTCCTTTGAAGTCAATGGCAAAAATTGAATAATTAAGAAGGAATTGTAAACAAAACAAAAAGTAGCATTATGACCCTTCATAAATCTATGGATACCTTGACTACTGTGCCAATTTTGGTCCCTACACCTCAAAAAGAATATAGAAGAAATAGAAAATGTACAAAGTAGGGCAACAAAGATGATCAGAGCACCCACATGAAGACAGCCTAAGGAGGTTAGGACTTTTAGCTTAGAAAAGAGAAGCTTGAGGGAGGACATGATAGAGGTTTACAAAATATGAAACAGTTCATTAAAAGTAAATAAGCATTCATTATTTATTCTCTCTTGCGATACTAGAACTAAGGGACATATAATGAAACTATTAGCTTATAGGTTTAAAATGACAAAAGGAAGTTTTTTTCATACAGCATGTAATTAAATTGTAAAACTCATTGCCACAAAATGTGGAGACTGGTAGCTTCACCCATCTCAAAAGCAGATGAGACCAATTCTTAGAGGGAAAGTCTATCTATATATATTGAATATGGTAGATAGAGGTGCAACCTCTGGATCAGAATTGCCTCAACTTCTGAATTCTGGACATGCACTTTTCACTCTCTCCCTCAGCATCCATTCCCTACCGCTGTATGAGACAGGATACCAGCTGGATGTAGCAGTGGTCTTTTCTAATATGCTTATGTTCTCTTCTTTGGGCTTCAACAAAGCTGGGATTCTATTTATATTGATATTTTAGAATAAATGATTTAATTGATTTATCATTCATTTTAAGGTAAATTAAATGGAAGTTAGGGATCTTAGTTTAAGGTATAAACGTGGATACCATAACAATTAGCACATTAAAATACCTATGTACATAGCTATCAATTTAGCAGTCAGAGGGCACATCTACAGATGCTATTAATGCACTATGAACCTACTGCACAGTAAAATAAGGCATGGTAAGCTTTCCCCTGCAGCTTGTCTACACATGGGCCTGTTGGGAGCAAACCAGAGATGTTCAGTGCAGGGCTACTCCTGCTTTGTTCTGCCCCCCTACAGCAGCCAGGGGGAGCTCGATGCCAGCCCTGAGCTGGTGGGGGGCACCAGGGTCAGGCGCAGGCTCCAGAGGGTGGGGGGAGATGTCCCACTTCCAGGGCAGTTTCCTCCCAGCCCGTACCCTGATTGACTGATTAGGGCACAGGGCTGGGAAACTGTCCTCCCCCCAGCAGCTGTTCCAAGCCCTGTGCTCTGATCGTAGGATGGTTACAAAGAGGATGGAGCTAGACTGTTCTCAGTAGTGGCAGATGACAGAACAAGGAGCAATGGTCTCAAGTTGCAGGAAGGGAGGTTTAGTTTGGATATTAGGAAAATCTCTCACTAGGAGGGTGGAATGGGCTACCTAGAGAGACTGTGGAATCTCTGTTCTTGAAGGTTTTTAAGGCCCAGATCAACAAAGCCCTGGCTGGAATGATCTAGCTGGAGACGGTCCTGCTTTGAGAAGGGGGTTGGAATAGATTACCTCCTGAGGTCCCTTCCAACCCCAATTGTCTATGATTCTATGAAAATAATAAGCAAGTAAATATAGTTCTTTGTAATATGCTCAGAGGAAAGGTGAAAATATGGAGGAGAAAAGGGGGAATATGTTAATGAATGAATGAAAACACAGATATTTGGTGAGATGAGAACACAACATACTATTGCTTTCCTAGGCATAGTCATTGCAATTTAACTAGAGTATATCAGAAACTCCACTTTCCTTCAAAGCCCTGCTTTAGGCTGAAAGGCTTTTTTTTTTTTTGGAAAGCTAGGATGGCATAACTTTGGCCATGAACTCAGCATAGCCTTGGGTCCCCAGGTACTCCTGAACTGCAAAGAAGCAATCCGTCAGTTTTGAGACACTATAAACACTGTGATAGAAGCTGAAAAAGGAGATATCCACAACTAAGACCTCTGTCCTTCTCTCTTTTGAAGGCAATGGTTAAACTCCCATTGACTTCAGAGGGCAAGATTGGCTTTTAATTTAGAAGAACTGGGAAATCTAAGAGTGTGATAGTAAAACATGCTAGTTAGTCAAAGTTGATAGTTGACTTCATTTCTTCATTTTCACTTTACCAAGTTATTGGCACATAGAGTGGTCTGTTAAGAAAACTGCCAAATGCTTCATATAATTGTAGGCAGGTTGAGACCTG